GCCGGGTGCCGGGTGCCGGCCCCTCCTCCTCCCGCGGAAGCCCCAGGCGGCTGGCCCGGCCTCACCCCCACCCCCACCCCTGCCCCAGCCTAGCAGGGTGAGGGAGGGACGGTACCAGGAGCTGACACGGACCCAGCCACACACCCAACGTCCAGTGTCCTCAAACCCCCAGAGCCACGCGGCCTCCGTGGTGCCGTGTGCTTCTGTAAACCATCGACACCTACATTCACGATGCGATGTGGCTTTCCACGTGATGTAATTGCTGGGGCCTCACACCCACCAAGGGACAGGGCTAGGGTTGGGCACCTAACGAGGTCTGACCCCAAGGGTCACTCCTCCAGCTGTCCAGGAAAGGGCACACACCGGAGCCAGAGGGAAGGTTCGTTCGTCCTTTAAAGCTCACCCGGGGACAGGCCTCAGCAGGGGACACACGAGGTGCCGAGAAGGGCGCTGGGCTGTGGTGGCCGTGTGACCTCAGCCGCGTCTCCTCCCCTGGTGACGTGTGGTGTCACCGTGTGCACCCCGCAGCCCCTCCCCCCGGGCCCTGGCTCGGCTCCCAGAGACAAGGGGAGTGCTCCCAAAGCCCCCCCGGGCACCCGCGCTAAGACCCCACCACCCTCTGCCTGTCAGGAAAGGGAGGCGTATTGAGAGCCTGTGTCCAGACCTCGGCCTGTCCCTCTGGAGGCCCCTCAGCTGGCACAGCAGGGACAGCGACCAGCGTGGCCCCACCAGCAGGGGAGGGGAGGCAGGCTGTTTTGTTCACTGCTCTCTGCGTTCTCAAGAAGATACGATCCCTCCGCAGCCACGGCAACGAGGCCCCGTCAGTATAATACTGGTCCGAGCGACCGTCAAAAACGTGAATAGACCCATTTTTGCACAAGCAGCCTGAATGGCTATGCAAAGGGAGTGTAGGCAGGCTTCATTTCCTGCAAAGGCTTCCTCTGTATTTTCTTCTATTCCACTCTTCGCTCTAAAAAATAGGGCTGCCTGGGGGCCTCAGTCAGTTGAGCGTCCAACTTCGGCTCAGGTCATGATCTCACAGTTCATGAGTTCCAGCCCCGCGTCGGGCTCTGTGC